ATTGACAGTCCGTCATCGACCCTCCTTTTCTATTCAATGACAGTGACAAGAGTCTTTTCTGGAGAAATATGCCATCAATTTTGGTCATGGATCGACCAATGCACAAATATTTGATAAATACTTTGTTGTACAATTTAACAGAAGTAACCATTATTGACAGTTAACTTCAAGAGCCGGAAAAAGACAAAAATTGATTGAAAAGAAATCTTCATTATCTATGGAATTGACAGTCCGTCATCGGCCCAAGGTATTTATCCGACTTTTTTATGACGTCGCGTACTGGCCATCAAGACACTAAAATTCAATTAATCGTAGTTTCGACGTCACAATTAGGTATCGGAATAACTAAAGTATTCAGACGTCTCACTCTCGACGTCGGGTTTTGACCTAAACATTACTTGCGGTTTGTAAAGTATTATCAATGTCGGAACGTCATTATTGAATGACTTCAAACAAATCCTTTTGGTTAGGTGTGTTATATCCTGACATTGCGTTTTGTTTATGCCTGAAAAACTTATATTGTTATAAGAATTTGTACGAATTTGAAGAAAATCAGTTAGGACTTCAACTGTATACCATCTGTCAAAACAAAGAGTGACTACTTTACGTGCCCGGACGCCGGACGTCTAAAAATATGGAGTCGATTCAGGTCCAATTTGTTGGACCTGTGGTAGTTTCTACGACAAAATAATAAGCCAATGATTGAATGATTTTTGAGTAATCTTTCGTAATTATTGCTTATTTGCTAAAGTCCGACAAATACCATTTTAAAGTCACGTGATATTGGTGGCAAAAAACGTGTGTTCATTGATTATGTCGTTGATATCACCTACAAGAAGCTACTGGTGGTTAATTACTATTGGCCTCTCCATTCCACTAGCATTTTACAAATGCGTTTCTGAAGTAGTATTGACCAATCAGATGGGAATTTTAATACTTGCAATTGCAGCGAGACTCACTTTTGTCGCATCTGCTGTCCGCTGTTTTACATTCTGATCTTGAATTGGGTACCCGTTTTCTATTTGCTTCTTTTCAAGTTGGAATAAGGTTATTATAGTCAAAATTATTAGCTGTGTTTTCATTGTGTATCATTTTCGAAAATAACTTTGACAAATTAATTGATGACAGTGACGGATTCTATTTCAGGTAAGAATAATATGAACAATAATTAGACACTATTTTTTTTGTCAATTTTACTATCACCGCTGTTTAAGATGTATTCAACAAGGATAGAGAAAAATCACGTGACTTTAAAATGGTATTTGTTGGACTTTACACATAATATGTAATTTTTTTTGTAGTAATTGTTACCAAAGGTCATTAGTAGTCAAACATATTACACTTTGTCGTGCATTTAGGTCCGATATCACTAAGTCCACTGTGTATAAATTATTGAAATATTAGGCAAATTTGGTAATAGGTGTGGTCACATGAAGACTCGGCCATTTTATATTAATAACCATTCAGAAATATCTGAAATAGAGGTAGGTAATTGAAAACAATCAACTAATAAATTAAAAACACCTCAGAATGATTTAGAACCAAATGTATTTTATATTTCCAATGCACAAATATTCAACTCCAAGCTCAGTTACTGACGAACAACCTAAAAATTAACAACTTTTACAAGTTTTATCGTCTATTATATAATTTATAGTGTGTTGGATTTTCGTGACATGCCTGCATGCAGACGTTTCAATTAAAATGGATGAAAATTTTTCTTGCCTAGACTACAATTTGGACCCAGGACCCTCGCATATCCAGTGCAACGCTCTACCAACTGAGCTAACAGAACCTGGGGATACAATTCTTGAATAATCTCGCATACGAAAATCTATATGATTTCGAATGTTCCCTATTCAAGTTACGTTGCTGTCATTCGAATTCGAATCAGCTTTCGTATGCGAGAATATTCAAGAATCTGTTTCATTTCTACCTTGTCGGTCAAGTCTTTCATCAATTTTAAGTTGTTAGTTGTGAAGACGCCACACTTAATGTCTAGATTAAGTTTTCCTAACCGCCGTTTTGTATTTAATTATTTATTTACATCTATTTTAGCAGGTGTGGCAACCATGATAATGCCTCTGTTCTGCAAAGTCACGTAGAAGATTTTTTAATTCACCAATAGCAAGACTAATACAAAAAAATATTCCTAATGTGGCCAACAAGAAAAAACGGTAACTCTGAGTCGGCATGTGGTCAGATGTACGTAGTGGGCCGACGTCAGGTCTGGTGGCATTACGTCCTACGACGTCCATGCTACGATAAAATGCTAGTTGGGAAACGAAACAACCCTGGGGGCATCGATATTACTAACCAGCATTCGCCCCTCCATAATAGTTAGTTTTCGTTTCCGTGTCTGTCATTAGGTTGGTGTCTCTGGATCTCGAATAGCGTTGGTAACGATCCCTAGATGGAGAGGACATCCTTACTCTACAATCTCGTTGAATGAAGTATGTTTTTTTTAACGATAAAAGTCAAAATGACATTATGTTGGCAATACAATATAAAATTGTCAATGCTTTCAAATTTTTTACGTAGAAAAGACTTGTGTTGCCAACATAGTAAATTTTTGACTTGGGAAATTATCTTTAAAAAAAAAAACAATTATGTCCAAGCTTATGGCACCGGTAACATATTCTACCCGATTTCTCGGTGTTGGTATTTGTCTGGAGTCGTTTCCTGTTTTTCTACCTTCTAGTAATAGTTTTTTCATTCTTTCCATGAAATTGCTCTAGCATTCTCGAATCTACCATCCTTTTTAGACGATTGTTTATCCTTTGGGTCTTCAATGGACACTGCTCGTATTCTGGGTCGTGAGGCAGCAAAGATTGCTTCCAGTTCCAATGCTCGGATAAGGGCTTCGCTACTTTGTTTGAAATTAGACATTCTCAGGTTTTCCTGGATCTTGGAATCTCTGAGACCATCAATAAACGCAGATACTACCATCCATAAAATGTCTTCCCCAGGTGCAGGAAACGCCAAACTCACTAGCCTTTTAACTTCCGATTCGAATTCTTGTAAACTATCCCCGGATTTTTGAATTCTTGATTTAACTTGAGTTCTAAATACTTTATGTCTGTAATGTTCTTCGAAGCGTAATTCTAATGTGTGACTTAGATGCTGGTAATTATGTTGGTAAATTGAAGGAATGGGCTGAAGAAGATATAAAGCAGGACCTCGTAGCGCCACTATCAGTGCTGTAGATTTTTCTTGATCGAATGCTCCAAGATTAGGTACCTGGATTGATGGATTATGTTTCTAATTTATTCACCCTATCTTCAAGTGCTTGAACTTGGCCCTCAACTTCTTAATTGCTGAACATCGTCTTTAACTTCTTGAATATCTTCTTTAACTTCGGCTTTCACTTCCTTAATCGTTTGTTTCAGCTTAGTGACAGGTCCTTGTATGGTTTAAAATATTTTCTGCAGTTATCCAAAGGTCGTCTTGCCGTTCTTTTATCGCTCAACCTCTTCTTGTTGCTTTTCTCGTTGTCGCCTGGCCTCTTCGTCTTGTTTTTCTTGTCCTTTAGCTCCTTCTTTTTGTTTTTCTTTTTGTCGCTTAGCCTCTTCTTCTTTTCTCTTTGTCGCCTGACCTCTTCGTCTTGTTTTTCTTGTTGTCATTTAGCTTCTTCTTCTTGTTTTTCTTTTTGTCGTTTAGCCTCTTCTTCTTGTCGTTTAGCTTCTTCTTCTTGTTTTTCTTTTTGTCGCCTGGCCTCTCCATCTTGTTTTTCTTGTCGTTTGGTCTTTTGAAGCTCCAAAATTTTGCGCAGAAGCTCTCCAATTTTTTGTTCTTTCATTTTTGGCTGTTGTCTCGTAATAGGCATATACAGAATGTTCTGGATTATTCCTCAAACTTTCTTCAAATATCTTTCTTGGCCTTTGCTCCCAGTGTTCACTAATGTCTACACTAGTGTCCGCAGTAGTTCGCACTATTCTGCAATCGGATTTCACTTTGCAATCTTCGAATAATTATATCTCACTTCTGACACCAATGCTACGGCTATGGCTGCGTGACAGAAATTTTGGGTTTGTTAATTCCAAAAATCAAAGTCCATATAACAACAATAATTTATTCCACGTTACTACACACTCTGACACTAATTACTTCACTTATTCACTCGAACAACTCAACTCTTCACAACTCTTAACAATAATCAGTATCTAAAACGTATCACAGCTAATCTTAAACTAGAAACTACCTACTAACTAATACCGGCCTTTATATATCGTAATCCATTCTTTTAAAATCCAAAATAAATACTTCTGATTTGTTTTATTTGTTAAAGAGACCTTGATTAATAGAGCCTGAGCCTGAAGGTTTGAAAAAGCCCTGATTCCTTGAAATGCTCTCAAATGTGATTTATTAAGAATTTTACAAGAGTTTTTAGCATTGACGTGGGAAGAAAATCATTATTCTGTTTCTGAACTTCCAGCTTTATTTCTGACGAAAAACTAAGTCTGAATCGTATCGGCTGATAAAGATCATAGGCATGGTAAACCACTGTCTTTGGTTAAATGGGAAATAAATCACCATAATTATTCTGAAAAGTATTTTATAATTAAAAATATATTTAGTTTTAGTATGAGAAATAAGGTTAAAAACAATACAAAAATGCATAGGTAGCGTAGCGGAAGAGCAAGATTTGAAACAATTTTCGTGAGATGATTTTGAATAGAATAGAATGAGAATAGAAACTCATTCAAATTATTATCTTTAACTATAAATTTGGACTTGTGAATGTTGAATTGTAAAAATATTGATACATTTTCCCAGGAGTGTGTATCTATCTCGAATTTAACACGCTCGAAATATACTGGAGATCGTGAAAGTTTTCGAATTTAACCTGATACCCAAACGAAACATGAAACTTTTCTGGTTTGATTTATACTTATATATATTTCCTACTTCCGAAGGGAAATTTTGCCCGGATATTGAAATGAAAGCTAAGCCGGATTTTTGAGATTTGAAATTGGAAGTAATAGTTTTTTTTTTTGCAGGAGGGGGAGATGACAATGGATATTTCGGTCCATGGAAAACGTGTAAATTGTTGCTGTATAATAGGGAGAGATGCGAAGAGGGTGTTTCTAGATTTAAAGCTACAGGTAAGAAATTATACATTGTATATAGATGTTTTACGAAAATGTTTTTCTTCAACTCTTTAACGCGCCGACAAAAAGACGATTCAATTTTGAACGTCGGCGAATATCACATCAAAAATAATTTCCCCCGAGGAATATATCGAGGCATCCCTTATTTATATATGTGTCACCCTTGAGAATGTCGAACAAAAAGTATATTATGGAGTATCAAGAAGGAAAATTAAAAATCTTTCCAAAAATTCCTTAAAAAAAAACATTCTTCCTTTTTCAAAATGCTTTTTCGGGATAAAATTTATGAATCACTTTTTTGTCATATTAGTCCAGAAATCCTATTGTATATTGCTGTTGCTTATCCGATTATTTTCCTCCACTTATTGTGCTGAGAACGTGAATTGAATGAAATAAGATGTACTAAAGTATCTTGTTGTTTTCCGGAGTTCAATTATTATCTCCGCTTCGATAAGCCGGAAATCAATTTTATATCATCCTTGGAAATTGCACCAACAGCGAGACAATTATTATACATAGTTCTTTCATTCACCTTAGTTGGATTGGATTAGCTTTAAATGGAAATAAATGGAAGTCTAGTCAGTGAATAAAAAATATTTCACATGTAGTGTGTTAATAAAGTCAGGATGCAATAATGGTTTAATCCCACTGAAATTTGCATGTAGCTTTCGTTGGGAATATAGTTTCTATAATTAAAACTTTTAAAGGTCAGAGCTACAGAGGTAATAATTAATGGTTTTAGAGTCAAATAGAGTTCAATAAAGTAGATATAATTTAGGAGTGTCTTCATTTTGAATTTAGAAACGAAATAAAATAGTAGCGATTTGCACCAGCTCAAAATTTGACTTTTGAACGAATTTAATTAGAAAATAATATATGTGTAATTGAGTAACAAGAATATCAAACTCGCCCAAATTTCATTCATAGAAAAATCATAAGTCCAAATAGGTATCTGTTGATTAGTGATGTAAAATTCCTGAAACATTCAAAAGCCGCGAACATTCTCGGAAACTTTCCGGGAATATTATTGGAAACTTTCGGGAACTTATGGAAATATTGTTTTTTTTTTTAAATTTATAGCTAAATCAGACTTAAAAATTCCTATTGGACAATTATTTTTATTTGCCTAATTTTCCAGTGAAACAATTAAGCCAGTTTCAAATATCACATCTAAATTATTATCAAACTAATAGTAAAATATCCTAATTGCATTTAGGCGAAATTCATCATTGACTTAATTTATTATTGACCTTGTTTTCCGAATGACAAATAATAATTTAAAATAATAAATTAATTGCATAGTTTGCTTGACTGGTGACTAATAATTTTGACCTCATCATAGTCAGGTATTTTTAAGAAAATTGCATTTTTTTACCTAATTTAATTGTCATCAATTATACATATAATTACCAATTATTTCTATGTTTTTAATAACATTTTTTTTTCTTCTAGTTGCTGTTTGGGTAGCTGGATTGATAGCTTCATTCTCAGTGGTGGTACTAGGAATTTTTTGTTTTCTCAGCATTCTACAATTAGCAATGATCAGCTCAAAAGAACAAGTAGTTTTAAAGTACAGCGCTACAGTGCTGACTAAAGTTGTGATGGCTTTTGTATCAGGTAAGATTTTTCTACATACAGACAGGACCAGGCTACCAGACACATAGGCTTCAATGGGACCAGTTGACTGATACCCATTTCACTGCAGTATCGTCACAGTCACAATGGATCATTGATCGTCCCTGCATGTTATTAGTAAAATTCGGACAGGTTAAAAATTAATTCGTCTTATTATTACCCATGTGTCTAGTAAATTAGTTCGGTCTGCACAAAACCAATAATTGTAATAACTATATTGATGTATTCTTGTCTTGAAAGCTCTTCTAGCAATTGTAGCAGCCAGTCTATTCGCAACACAAATCGACGACGAAAGAAACGGATTCGAAATCACGAGAGGGCCAGGGTTTTACATTGAAGTAAGCAAATTATTTTTATTTTCAAATTTGATTATGCAAAACCACTAAACGAATTTCGTCCTTTGTACTATAGACTATTCTAGGTTCTAATTAGTGCTGAGTCACGTTCGTCCCACGTCCCCCACGAAAGTTGAGAGTATGTTTTTTTAGTTTTTATTGCCCTTGCCAGAGGATTCTGTAAATCCAGACTGGATAAACTCCATTAAAATCCCTATAGAAAACAACTGATTTCTATGGTTTTGGTCCAATATTGGATAATAAAAAAGTTGTTCTGAGAACACAAAGCTTTACCCATTCTGTTTTATGATATCAAATTATTTTGGACTTGAAAATTCATTGTACTTGTTCTATCCTGTTTTTTCCCGACACGTAATTGTCCCAACAGTATTTAGCCTGACTCAAGAAATCCCGACACAAGGTCATCAAAGTCAAATTCCGTGTATATGACCCAAACCGTATTAAATTTGTCTTAGACGTAGGTAATAGGGTACTTGCACATTTTTGGATTATCGACTGTCAAAATCTGATATAAGCCTGCAAAATTTTTTAATTTTTTAGTCTAATTTTTTGTCTATTCATGGCTCTTGAGTTGAGACCCATTAAAATAATGCAAAAAAAAGCATTATTGAGACAAAAATACAAACTAGATAACAGTGTAGTGTAGCTGGAGTCTACATAAAAAGTGACCAAGATCTCTTAGCTGATATTAAAAGAAGAAATTATCAAGGTGAAAATGACATAAAGATTAAATACATAAACTCCATACCCATAATTATTAAAGTTGAAGAACAATAAAAAAACTAAAAACAACCCCAATTGAAGTGCCTCCTGTGGTATAGCAATCTGTATTCTATGACAAACAAGATTGATGAACTTAAGATAAACATACAAAACACTAACGCATGCATAATTCTCATCAACGAAACATGGTTGAATGATCGCATTCCATACTACATAATCTTCCCCAAAGACAGAGGACCAGGGGGAGGAGGCTTGTGTGTTTTTGTAAAAAATTATATTGCAGGCCACATAGTTCATGCAACAATCAATCAAAATGTTGCCCCCACAGGACCCATTGAATCCCTATGGTTTGATATTGCCTTAAGTAAGATAACATTTCTTATAGCATGTATTAACAGACCTAAACAAAAAACAGGCATAGAACACAACTCAGAACTAGTGCAAGTTATTGAAAATGCAATGTCACTAAAACAACCGCTGTACATAATGGGAGACTTCAATTACCCAGAAATAAACTGGTAAACATCGGAAGTAAATCCGCATAACCAGTGTAGTCAAGACTTTCTGGCCAGCTACAAAAACCATAGAAGTCGCCAACATATAAATGTATCCACAAGGTTTCGGAACCGAAACGACCAAAAATCTCTTTTAGACCTGCTTATTGTAAATGAGAAGAAATTAATTTTTGATGTTCATGAACATGCACCCCTTGAAAAAAGTGACCACATTGTAATAACTGCCAAAACACAGCTTCAGATAATTGCACAGCCTACACATAAAATCTACAAAAGGGACATTTGGAAGGCAGATTAGACTGAAGTAAACCAAACCTTTCAGCAACAACTAGCACAGTCTACTAACATTCATTTGAAGAATGAAGAAGTTCATTAAATTTTATTTTGATGCAAAATGTATTTACGCGAAAACGCTCTCAAATTGGTGATGACGTCATGGAACGCGAAACAAACAAAAGTGTGGCTATGTCAACGTGATACGTGAGCCGTCAGACGCTTGTGTTTACATCGAATTCCGCCATTCTATGTCGGTCATTGTCATTTTGCATCCACTAAACAAAGATACCCCTCGTTTTCATTCTAATCGGCGACTTCACCGATGAGTAAGCTATCTTTGTTTAGTGAATGGAAAATGACAATGATCGACATAGTCGTATAAACCAATGACATAAAACACAATTGACAATGGGTAAGAGAGAGAGAGAGTGCAGAGACTCGTTTTGACGAATATCGTCTTGTGACGTCATGGATTTACGACTGCGTTTTGGCGCGAACGGAGTTATTTTGAATTTCTACATTTTTTTACAGAAAAACTATTAGTTGAAAATTTAGAATTTATGTGGCAAGTGACTTTTTACAATGTGAAAAATTTAATAGGAGAATAAAAACAAAATCTGCAAATTCCACATTTAGGAGGCTTTGGGATTTACAATCAATGCATATTCTTGATGCCATACACACCACAAAAAGTTAATCCCCAAGGCAAAAGCCAAGGCAGTATTTAGGGAAATACAAAGGAAAAGAGTCTTATGGCACAAATATAGAGGCACAACAATACTGAAGAAAATTACAAACAGTACCAACATTAAAATAATAAGGTCAAAACTTGTAGTCACAGCAAGAAATAATATGAACAACACAAAACAGTGCTTTTCCTATGTCAACTCTAACCTTGACTCTAAACACACTCACTTCAGTATTGTTGATAAAGCAACTCTAGTTCCATTTGAATGTTACCAGGAGGTTGCAGAGTGTTTTGTACAGCAATTTCAGAATGTTTTCACTAAACTCAGCACTACAGATATTAGAGCAACACCTTCAGTTGAATCCTACTCCAGAAAAGAAATCAACACCATACATTTCACCACAAAGAAGGCAGAGATCGCCATTAAGTCCCTAAGAGTTCATCCAGCCCTGAACTTTCCTATATTTCTTGAAAATTGTTTGCATACTTTGAGGGGGCCTCTGGAAGCCCTTATGAATGACATAATATTTTCCCCAACCTTGGAAAAAAGCACCTGTCATGCCTATATTTAAAAAGGGTACCTAACAAAAAACTAGTAGAAAACTACTGACCAATCCCTATGTAAATGTATGGAAATCAAAAAATTATTGCTAAGGAAATCACAAGCTTTTTCCTCGAAGCTTATATTGTTACCACACCAACAACATCGTTTTCTCCCCAAAAAATCTACTTTAAGGAACCTCCTAGCCAGACTGAAATATGGACAAAGGCAAATGATGAGACTGATCCAAGTGATGTAGTTTCCCTTGACTGACTTTGAAAAAGCATTTGATAAGATACTAACAATATTCCTACCTATTATACAAGCTATCTCATTTTGAAGTCAGGGGCGATTTACTGCGACTTCTTGAGGAATTCCTTACTGGACGTACCTTAGGTTAGGACAGGAATATATTTCTCAATTGAATACTCTTTATACAGCGGCGTACCACAAGGCTCTTAGGACCCTAGCTTTTCTTGTCGTATTTTTGTGACTTATATCCAAAAATGAAGACCAAATAATATGATGTCACAAACTTATACTGCAATCCACTTCTACAGTTTGCAGATCTCCAGGAAGACCTGTACACCATCAAAGAGTGGACAATGTCTTGGAAATTCTCGCCACTAACGCCACCAATACCAGGGGACCTAACCAGAAACTTGAGAAGGAAAGATACTAAGAAGAAATTTCTTGACAAACATAGTGGTTTATTAGTGTAAATAGACTTATTCATGGAACAATTAGGGCAACATCAGTAGGTAAATCAGTTTAACAACATTTAGATCCAGAGAGAAGAAAACCAGAGACGTCCTTATACTCTACAAAAGACAAGCCAATTAAAATTACCAAAAGAATAACACACGATAAAATAATTTACCTTCTACCTTTTACTATGAGGAAGACCCGAAAAAGGACATTTCGACCTATGAATACCTGAAATAGATACCCAAGTAGAAGATCATAGATAAAAGGAAAAAGAAGGCATCGCACTAAATCAAGGACAACAAAATACATCAGAATGTCAAACCAGACAGAAAAAACAAGGGTAGAGGAAGAACTAAAGTGGACACAAGAGGAATATTGTTTGCCTGGGACAGCTAACTTGAAAAAGACATATCCTCTGGATGGAAAGAAACACATACTCAAATCGTAATCTGATACCTAATATCCTTGCGTCACAAAGAAGATTTATCCTACACAATAATAAAGTACCAGAAGAGATAACAATGAAGATTCAACAGACAGTAAAAGAGTTCAAACCCGACAACGAGACCAAAGCAGAAGCACACCCAGCAACGATGAAATAAAGAGAAGTAAGTCACTAATCACACAACTTAGCTCTTGAGTGTATTTTCAACACTTTCACAGAAGAACTCTACGACATTACGATGCTTAATAGAATAATTTATGCGTCTGCAACTGTGATCCAGAACATCCTGTCACCATAGAAAGAAAAACAGAAACAATCAAGAAACGCCCTGTAATGGACCACCATGGAAAAAACGAATCTACAGTGAGTCCCAGATTCGTTTCTCTATACAGGGATCTCGACTCCTATCATATCCACAGCAAAGGTTAAATGGGGAAAGTTCTAAAGGAAGCTAAGTGCATTCGATAATCAGCTTCAGATTAACGATCGCTCAATTCGATTTGGAAATATCGGCAAAAAACCGAAAATGGTCGCGTTCCTAAGCACTCAACATGTTGAGTGATTAGTAAGCGGCTTTGTTCCAGCTAGTGGAATGCACAAGGTAGAAAAGTTTTGATTGGCCTAGAGCTGATTTTCATCTGTTTTCAACAGAGCCGCTGACCAATCACTCAACATGTTGAGTGCTCAGGAACACAACCAATGACTGATTTTGTTTTTTGGCAGTTAACCCGAAACGGTTGATTTGACAGGTGTCAAAATGTGACATTATTCAGACACTTTTTTAAGACCAACGAGATAGCGTGCATAGCAGGTCTTAATCGTCTTTTGTTATCCCGCAACCCGCATCAACTTTCATTTTTCTTATAGCCGCCATATTGGATTTTTCGATTTTTGGAAAAAACATAGAATTTCCAGTCTAGTGATGTGTCACAAGTGGATAAAAGATTTCAGTATCATCGAGAAATCACGTCTACTAATAATAGTAAGTTTTCTTCCATTAAAATCATAAACCTGGACACACAAATTTTTGAAACCTGTTGAAAATGGCCGGTATTCCCTATTCAAATGAAGAAAAGTTTGATATGT